TGAAATAGAGTGTGTTGGAGAGGTGTGTGGATGGTTGTGTAGACTGCTTGTCAGGGTGTGTGAATGGCTGTGTGAGCCTTGTGCATGGGTGTGTCTGGGTGAGTGAATGAGTGTGTAGGCTGCATGTCGAGGTGAGTATGGATGTGTGTGTGTTGGACATGTGTGAGATTGAATGGAAGAGTGTATAGGGAGTGTGAAGGATGAGTGGACAAGTGTGTTGGGTGAGTGGACGTGTGTATAGAGGGAGTGGACAGGTGTGTGTAAGGAGAACATAAGATTGAGCCTAGAGTTACTCCAATGACTCCTCATGTTGTATCTCTGTGATCCTCCCTCAGTGTGGAATGTGTCATCGTGGCCAACGACCCGACGGTGAAGGGTGGCACCTACTACCCAGTCACGGTGAAGAAACACCTGAGGGCCCAAGAAATTGCCCAGCAGAACAGACTGCCATGTATATACCTGGGTGAGTCACAGTTGGATTTTCAGTGATTCATTTTTGAGGGCTCTCTCTTTTGGTCTAGAGGTTATGGTGTTCGCCTCTCTTTCAGTAAGTCCTAGTTTCAAAACTCGACAGCGACAGAGAATTTTCTTCTGTAAAATTTTCCCTGCTGTCACCTCCCTTCTTGCTCTCTGACCATATTCTGTCGTCTGCTTTCGTCTTCACTTTCTTGTGGGTTTTTTTCCAGATATAACTCTGTTTGGATACCAAAAAAAGACTTACGTAAAGCTCTTGTAGCAACATCTGTATTATTGTGTGTAGGATACTAATATTTTTTGAAGGTCAACATAATCGACTGCTTAGTTAAAGACTGATGAAGTCTTGACTGAGCTGTCCATATGTTGTCTACAGAGAGCAAGAAATAAGGATTTTACAAAACAACCTCTATGTGAGAAATGAAACAAATGTATTTGTATTGTCAGTACTGATGAGAAAACATAGATAATTGCTCCTAGATCACAATGGGCGCTCTTTCTTGAGATTGAGGTATCTTTTTATATGTGCAGTCTTTGGCAACTTACAATTTTTTTTTTAAATTTGTGTAAAGTGAAGCTGCACGTTAAGTCACTCATGTTAAATCTTCGTAGAATACAATGTAGAGTGTTGAGTTGTTTAATTCAGCATGCTAGCAAAGTTTATAACAGAGTGTTGAGTCATTTTTTTCTTAATTTAACTAGAGCCAACAAGTTCTAAGTCTTTAAGTTTTTCAGTACCATTTGACAAAATACCTCAGATTGCAGGATGAAGAGGAGGAGGAGGAAGAAGAGGAAAGGAATGGGGTAGAAAAACAATATTTTACAGTGTGAAACATTGCTAGAGAAAACCTACAACACCAAGCACTCAGGCTATAAAGTAAGAGGAAGGCCACGCAAAAGGTGGATTGAGGGTGTCAAGGAGACCCCAAGAAAACATAATATCAAAACTGAAAGAGCTGGGGAGTTGGCCCACCATAGAAAACGGCTTCTCCCCTCGACGCTTAACGGCAACAGAGGATGAAAAAGTAAAGTAAAAGTAAGTAAGTAAATTTGTTCTTAATCTTGTGATTTCCCTCCCTCCCCCCAGTGGATTCCGGCGGTGCTAACCTCCCTCGCCAGGACCAGGTGTTCCCAGACAGGGACCATTTCGGCCGGATCTTCTACAACCAGGCCAACATGTCTTCCCAAAATATACCTCAGGTAAGGGTTTTGAATTTACTGCAGGTAAAAGTTTAGATATTATGCCCAGGTAAGGTTTTGAATACACCAAAGGTAAGTGTTTAGATGTATCACATGTAAGGGTTTGAATATACTGCTGGTAAAGGTTTAAATGTGTCACAGGTAGGGGTGTAAGTATATATATCACAGGTAAGGGTTTAAATATATATCACAGGTAAGAGTTTAGATATATATATATCACAGGTAAGGGTTTAAATATATATCACAGGTAAGAGTTTAGATATATATGTCACAGGTAAGGGTTTAAATATATATCACAGGTAAGAGTTTAGATATATATGTCACAGGTAAGGGTTTAAATATATATCACAGGTAAGAGTTTAGATATATATGTCACAGGTAAGGGTTTAAATATTTTAATATATACACATCTATATATGATATATCTCATTCTTTCTCTCTCCCTCCCTTGCTCTCTCCACTCCCACTCTCTCTGCCTCCCTCTCTCTCATCTCTCTGTCTCTGTCTCTGTCTCTCTGTCTCTCTGTCTCTCTCTCTCTCTCTCTCTCTCTCTCTCCCCCCCCCCCCACCCCCCGCCTCTCACACTCACCCACTCTCTCTCTCCCACCAGGTGGCGGTGGTGCTGGGCAGCTGTACAGCAGGCGGGGCCTACTCCCCAGCCATGGCAGACGAGAGCATCATCGTGCGCAAACAGGGGACCATCTTCCTGGGAGGGCCGCCGCTGGTGAGTTGTGGCTTCGTACATGTGTGTCTGGGCGGGTAGTTGGCGGGTGCTCTGGTGTGATTTGGTCCTTCTTTCCTATCAAACATCTATTGTCTGTAATTGCCCGGTTACGTATCGAGCTGTGTAGTCTGTTTTGACGTTTCAATCTATCGTTCAGTTTTGTTTTGATCAGGGAGATTCCTAGTCATTGACTTGACTGCAAATGTGCTACGCACCGGGTGACCTTGATACACAACTTCACCATTGACGATCAACTAAATAATAATAATAAAATTTCTAAAATATTCATAATAACGCATCAAATCAGGTTCCCCGTGAGCAACTTTGCATATTTTGAGATGCTGATTCGGAATATGAAATCAGTCTTTACCTGTAATAATTATTGTACAAATTTTGAGCCCTAAGTTAAATCTCGCATGGCGGCAAATTTTAAAGTGATTCTACGTCACAGTCATTAATTCTTTCTGTGTGGTCCAATCAGGTGAAGGCGGCCACAGGAGAGGAAGTGTCTGCTGAGGATCTGGGCGGAGCCGACCTTCATTGTAGGTAAGAGTTTACAGAATTAAGTCCCTTCAGTCCCTGTACCGACCTCCATTGTAGGTAAGAGTTTACTTCATTACTTTCCTTCTCTCTGTGAGCTGATCTCTATTGTAGGTAAGAGTTTGTTTTTTATTATTTTTATTTTAGTAAGGTTTTACGGCGCTCCCAACTGCACAAGGTTTTATGAGCGCCAAGGGGTGGATGTAGAAAGAGAGAGGTCCAAACGGGGAATCAGGCTTACTCTGATCACCTCTCTAGCCTCAACAACACAAAGTCTGCTTCGACTATCAGGGCATCATGGAAATAGCAGTTCACACAAGATTGACAAACATACGAAAGAAGAAGAGGAAAAATGACGATAGTTCGGACAAGGAAAGAAAAAGCAGCAGTTCAGGCACAGTATGAGCATGACATTAATAAATCAGCCCATTTTCTATTCTACTGTGCATAAAACTTAACCTTACAAAAAAAATAAAAAACTCAAACTAACAAAGAGTGTGCCTTAAATTCCCAGTGAGTCTGGCGTGACTGATCATTACGCTCAGGACGAGGTCCACGCTCTTCACTTGGCGCGACGAGTCATCAAAAACTTGAACTACGTCAAAGACCCAGGGGTGAGTAAAAATTTATAATGTAGGTTTAACGCCTCTATCAACACTGTTAGGTTATCAAAAGGCGGGGCCTCTGAGTTTAACATCCATCTCCGAAAGGACCGAGCCAAATGGGAAACTGGTGGAAAGTTCCTTTCCTAAGGACACAACGTCAGACCGAGCTGAGGCTTTGAACCCGCAATCTCACGATTACTGGTCTGGTAGCCTAACCACTAGGCCACCAACGCCACTCAGGGGTGAGTGAGTGCTAAATTTGATATGGGGTTTTAAAAAATGGGATAGGGTGATAGGGTGTGAAAGAATACAATGTTTAACGCTGGGATGAATGAGTGTAAAGTATGTGTCTCTTACAAATTGCTACCTTAGAATAACAATGTTCTATCTGCTCAGTACCTAGTTTTGAGAAATTTACCTTAAAAATGTCGAGTTTCCCAATATTTCAAACCTTTTCCGAATGCAATTTTTCGAATATCTTGATAACGACTCGGAAGAGTTACAATTTTGATAAGGCAGATAGAGCGTTTTGTTTTCTGACTTCATAGTATTAGTATCTCAAAATGACCTAAATTGCCAGCTAGAACTTTGGAATACTGAGGTAGCGAAATGTGAGTATGAAGTATGGTGGTGATAATGTGGATGTGAGTATAAAGAATGGTACCTTTTACAAATGTGAGTGTAATTTAGTGTAAAGTATGGCTTAACTCTTACAAATATTAATGTAAAATATGGTGTGGCTCTTACAAATGGTAATATAAAAATTTTAGTGTAGCTCTTACAAATATTAATGTAAAGCGTGACATAGATGATATGGATGTGAATGTAAAGTAGACATAGATGTGTTGTCGTGGGTATGAGTGAGTGCAGAATGCACTAAGATTGATCTGAACAAGAGTTGTATGGTAAAAATTGTTTCCCCGCTCGTCTCTCCCACGGCCAGGTGAGCATCGAGAAACCCGTGGAGCCCTTGTACCCCGCCGATGAGATCTACGGCATTGTGGGAGACAACCTGATGAAGACGTTCGACGTGAGGGAGGTGATTGCGAGAATTGTGGACGGCAGCGTATTTGACGAGTTCAAGACCATGTACGGAGAGACTCTGGTCACAGGTAAGTAAATATCATGCTTGTTTTCAGGTGATACGGAAGCTCAGATTATGTATGTCAGTGGGTTTTTTGTGGGTGCTCTGGTGTGGTTTGCTCCTTCTTCTTTCTTATCAAACTCCTATTGTCCTTGTCTCTCCTCCTTCCTTCTTTTTTGTGGATGTTTCTCTCTTGTAACATCTCTAATCTTCGGCACTTATATGACCTTAAATGTGGGTGGTTAGCGGGTGCTCTGGTGTGCTTTGCTGCTTCTTCTTTCCTATCAAACATCTATTGTCCTTATCTCTCCTCCTTCCTTCTTTTTTGTGTTTGTTTCTCTCTTGTAACACATCTATTCTTCGGCACTTATATAACCTTATAGTGTTGCAAGTGCCGTAAAACTCTTACTTAAACTAAAGATGTATGTCATTCAGGTGCCGGTTTTGTGACTTCCTATTGGGAAATTGGTGACTTTATTTAGGTTGTAATTTTTTTTACATTTTTAAAAATGCTTTTCGCTAGAAAAGGTTTTGTGCAGACACAGTGGATAGGCAATATTTGACTTTTTTTTGTTTGTTTTTTTATACAGACTTTTTGACAATTGTTTGCTCCCCAGAACTCTTACCAAAATATGCAGTTTTGTCATAGAAAAATATCCAGTCTTGTCATAGAAAGAATATACAGTCTTGTCATAGATGAATGAATGAACTGTTGACGAGTGGTTAGTAAGCTCAAAAGTTCAAGAATGTCAAGTATGTGTTGTGGACACAGCATTTACATTTGAGGGTGTCTTGGCTGTGCCCTTTAGTAAGACGCAATAACCCTTTCTGAAAAAACAAACACCCCAAAAAACTGGATTTTGTACATTAGTAATTAGCTATGGCTTATTGATTCTCTGTTATGGTGTAATATTGAAAGATCTAAAAGTATGGAAATTTATATTATGTTATTTAATTAAAAAGAATATGTTCTCTTATGAAATCGTAGATGGATAAATGAATCATTAAAAAAAAACTCTGTTTCAGGATTTGCCCGCCTGTGGGGTTACCCTGTTGGTATCGTTGGTAACAACGGTGTCCTCTTCTCAGAATCTGCCCTCAAGGTCAGTGGATTTCTTAGAGCTCATCATCATCATCTTAATCCAGCAAAAAAAAGAGTCACTTGTATGTCTGTGTCGCTAATTTTTATCATTGAGGGAATGTACATGTAATAATAATAACAATAATAATAAATAGCATTTGTTAAGCACGTAATCCCTCTCAACAGCGAGCTCTACGGGCTTTACGCACTATATTATCACCCCAGCAGACCATAGAATACTCAGAAACATTCTCAGCTTTCCGTGAAGCGTACAGTGCAAGCAGCAGATTAAATGCTCAAACACTAACAAAATTGACAAGATCTTTTGCTGTCTATAGCTGGGTACCCATTCCCACTTTGGTGAAATGAGAAAAATACGTGTGTACAGTGCTTTTCCCAAGGACACAAAGTCAGGCTCCCTGACGGGATTCGAACCCCTGACCTTACGGTTGCGAGTCCGAGAGCCTAACCACTATGCCACCGACGCCACATGTACAGAGAACCTACTCTCCTATTCTACATGTCAACTCTTGGATACCCCTCGGGGCAGTGCTACTGACTGAAGTGTCTTTAGGCCATTCCCAAATGGGGGACATCAGCCATGTTCTTATGCTCAGTAAATTGTAATTGTGAATAGGCTGATTTATCAATGTCATGCTTATAATTGTGCCTGAACTGCAGCAGGGAACTGCCACTTTTTCTTTCCTATTCCTTACTATTGTCATTTTTCTCTACTTCCTTTGTATGTTTGACCCACTCTTGTGACCCACTATTTCTGGGGTGCCTTGATTGTCGAAGCAAACTTTGTGCTGTTGAAGCTAGAGAGGTGAGCAAAGTAAGCTTGATCCCTGTAAGGACTTCTCTGTTGACATCCACCCCTTGGCGCTCATATGACCTTATGCAGTTTCGAGCACCGTAAAACCTGCACTAAAACAGACAACTCTTGGTGTATCCACAGGGCACTCACTTCATAGAGCTGTGCTGTCAGAGGAATATTCCACTCATCTTTCTCCAGAACATCACAGGTTTGTCCACTCTCAGCGCACAGGCACCCACATACATGCAAACTTACTCGCATATACACACGCACGCACGCACGCGCACACACACACACACACACACACACGCACACACACACAGTCTCACACATACACACCGGTGGAATCAACATGTACATGCACACATGCCGACACACAAACACATACACGCACATGCACAAACACACACACGCATGCACACATACAAGCACACAAGGACACCAGTATTGAAACCAATATTGTAATATCAGTGAAATATAACCAATATTGTAATTTCAGTAAAAGAACCAATTTGTAATGTTAATGAAATGAAACTAATATTGTAATGTCAGTGAAATGAAACTAATATTGTAATGTTAATGAAATGAAACTAATATTGTAATGTTGGTGAAATGAAACTAATATTGTAACATCAGTGAAATGAAAACAATACTACAATGTTAGTGAAATGAAACTAATATTGTAATGTAAGTGAAATGTAACAAATATTGTAATGCTAGTTAAATGAAACCAATACTTTCAATCAATTCCCCCATGCAGGTTTCATGGTGGGCAGAGAGGCGGAGTCAGGCGGTATCGCCAAGAACGGAGCCAAGATGGTGACCGCTGTGGCCTGCGCCAAAGTGCCCAAGATGACCGTCCTCATCGGAGGCTCATACGGAGCGGGGAACTACGGCATGTGTGGTCGCTCCTACTCGTGAGTGGTTCCTTCCTGTGTGTGTGTGTGTTCCTGTGTGTGTGTGTGTTCCTCTGTGTGTGTGTGTGTTTGTTCCTGTGTTTGTGTGTTTGTTCCTGTGTGTGTTGTGTGTGTGTGTGTGTGCATGTTTGTGTCTTCTTTATTTGTTTGTTGGGTTTTTTTAAAATAAGTATTTAACAGTGCTCACCACTGCAAAAGGTAATATGAGCGCTCTAGACACAGTAAACATTTTTAGTTTGTAGGAATTTTTGAATTTTTCTCGGGTGGCGTTAAACATTTATTAAAATAAAAAAAATAAACGAACTAATAGGCTGATATCAGTTCGATGTGTTTTTTGTTTGTGTAACAAGCCAAAAGAATTCTTGATTTTATAAAAGTAATTTCCCTTTACAACAAATTGTAAATACACTGTTGTTTTAATCTAATGCAAAATATCATTTATAGATTAAATATTTTACCACAAATTAAAAAATTTCTTAATTGAATCATTGACCTAAACCAAGCCGTGCTGTGAACTGTTGTGAAAGCTACCAACTTGTGTTTCGCGTACTCATCATATGACCTTATGCAGTTGCGAGCGGCGTATAACTCTTACTAAAAGTCTGATTCCCCATTTGGACTTCTCTGTTGACATCCACCATTTGGCCGTCATACGACATTATGTAGTTGCGAGCGTCGTAAAACCTTACTAAAACTAAAATTAAAACTCTAACTATACTGGAGAGAAAAAAAAGTACACAGAAATATCGGCCTGACTGAGTGACCTCTGACATTTCCATATTATTTTTTCTTTTCCCCAGCCCCAACTTCCTGTACATGTGGCCCAACTCTCGGATCTCGGTGATGGGCGGCGAGCAGGCGGCCAATGTCATGGCCCAGATCAGCCGGGAGCAGCGTGCCCGAGAAGGGAAGGAGGTCAGTTGTCAGGGGAAGTTTAACCCTGTCCCTCT